AAACATCCTGCATCTCAGGAAACTCTTCTGTCAAGCAGCAAGGATGGACCGGCTTCCGGCAGCATCTCAGGAAACTCTTAAGTCCCAGGCAACCCAAGATGGTCAACCTAAAACCACTCCCTCCAAAGTTGTGCTCACAGGGTCCATTTTTAAGGAACCATGTTGACATGGCATCTGTTGAGAATATACAAAGAGGGGGGAAGCATGTGAAAGAACACCTAGACTGTGGAGGAATATGTTTCAGGGGAGTGCCCACCTTTGATAGGCTTGATTCCCCTAGGCTCATCTGGCTGCTGTCTCTGCCTGGCGCACAGTAGGTGCTCACTAAATGGTTCGATCAGTGGTGGCTTTCCTTATAGGGATTGTGCTCAATAGAGGGATTTGCCTTTGAAATATGATGCCCTTTCCCACTTGGTGCGCTTATGTGAAGATCTGTTACTAGGGGCCAGATAGGATGAGCTATAAGGCATTTAACAGCCTGTGGATAAGTATGTGGTGGGGGCATTAGGGAAAATTTTCTGAAATACATATTTTTAAAATCTTTAAATTGTGTGATGATCAGCTTTCAATGATCCCCACCTTTTGGTATTCATTCATGCCCTTGTATAATGTTCTCCCCTTGTGCTTAGGCTGGACTTTGTGACTTGCTTCTGAACAGAATACAGTGTAAGTGAGGGGATGTCTCTTCTGAGATTAGGCTATAAAAGGCTGTGGCTTCTCGCTTTCTTGCACCATTTCTTCCTGGCTCTTATCCTATGCTCATTCTGCTGAAGCAAATTGTAACTAGTGAACTATTCTATGGAGAGGCACATGTGTCCAGGAGTTGAGGGCAGCCCCTAGCCAACAGCCACTGACGAACTGAATCCTACCAAGAATCATGTGAATGAGCTTTGAAGTGGACCCTTCTCTTTTTAAGCTTTCAGATGAGACTGCAGCCCCTGCTGGCATCTTGATTCTAGCCTTGAGAGAGAGAAAGAGAGAGACCCTAAGTAGAGGACCCAGCTAAGCCATGCCTGGATTTCTGCTCACAGACACAGTGATAAAATAAATGCTAGCCTCTACCAGCATACATTTGTTTTGCTTGTTTTTGTACTTTATATAAATGAGATCACACAGTATGTAAAAAATAGCTTTTTAGCAGATTCTCAGTGAGATTCCTTGATACATTGAGAACCACTGAGACACATGGAGAGAGAGCCAGTGATTGACATGTTTGCCAGTAGTTATCCATCACAGTCTTGGTCTGGGAATAAGTGACTGATTTTAGAAGAGAAATAATGGTTACCTGGATAGAAATAGGTGTAGGATGGGACAAGTAATTCACTCAGCCAGCACTCACAGCCATGTGCTCTGAGTCTTGAGTCTCTGTTCCCTATGCTACCCTCTGTCTGTAATTTGATTTCCTGAGAGATGAGGCCCAGAAAAATAAAACAAAAGAAAAAACCCACTAAGTCACAACTAGAGATACTTATCCTTCTCTATGAACCAACACCCCAGTATTTGGGTTTTTACTTAGCTTTTCACAAGTTTGGTTATTGGGAGTCAGAGCCCTAGAGGATGATCAACCCCAGATGCAGTGATAAAACGGAATTTCTAAATCTAGTTGCTAACAATTATGAAGCTACGCTTAGAGTCTATGTTAAGCATTTTATATGTTACATAATTTATATACAAACACACCAACCTGATAGGAAGCTAGTTATTATTAAGATATTTTATAAATGAGGAAACAGTTTAAACAATTTGCCTATGCCCTAACCGGTTTGGCTCAGTGGATAGAGCGTTGGCCTGAGGACTCAAGGGTCCCAGGTTTGATTCCGGTCAAGGGCATATACCTTGGTTGTGGGCACATACCCAGTAGGGAGTGTGCAGGAGGCAGCTGATCGATGTTTCTCTCTCATGGATGTTTCTAACTCTCTATCCTTCTCCCTTCCTTTCTGTAAAAAATCAATAAAACATATTTTTAAAAAATAAAAATAAATAAACAACTTGCCTAAGACTGCATTCTGCCCATATCATACAGCTAGTTGGAGGCCGTACAGGTTCATTCATTCATTTCCACTCTGAGTTTTTAATCACTAAACTTTGGTACCTTCCACAGAGCTTGAGATCAAAGTCTGCTGCGACAGTGAAGATGTGCTTGAGTAGTCAGCTGGATTCCTTACCCCTGCCATTCATCTATCCCTCCATCCAGCCACCCATCCATTCCTTCAATCATCTTCCAATCAACCAACTATCCATCTGCTATGGTCTGAATATTTGTGTCCCTCCAAAATTTATTTGTTGAAATCCTAACCCCTAAGGTGATAGTCTTAGGAGGTGGGGCATATGGGAGGTGATTAGGTAATGAAGACGGGACCCTCTTGATTGAGATTAATTCCTTTTTAAAAATATATATATTTTTTATTGATTTCAGAGAGGAAGGGATAAAGATAGAAACATAAAGGTTGAGAGAGTATTATCAATCGACTGCCTTCTGCATGCTCCTTCTGGGGATCAAGCCTACAACCTGGGCATGTGCCCTGACTGGGAATTGAACCATAGCCTCCTGGTTCATAGGTTGACACTCAAACACTGAGCCACACCAGCCGGGCAGGATTCAGACTCTTTTTCTTTCTTTTTTAAATATATTTTTTATTGATTTCAGAGAAGAAGGGGGAGAGAGAGAGAGAAACATCAGTAATGAGTGAGAAGGATTCAGACTTTTAATGTCTGCACCTTCACCACTTCCTCTCTAGTGAAAGGATTTCATAGGGTGTGACCTTGTTGTGAGCAATGGGGCATTTTATTTCAAATGAAGTTTTCCTGGGAAGTCCACTGTGTGGGAGATGAAGGACTTCCTAAGGTCAAAGCAGGGTGGAAACGTTTCCAAGACCCCCACCCCTACTTCCACACCCATCCTCCTGTGGAGCCTCCAAGAAAGCTCCCTTGCCCCTTTTTGCCATGTGAGTATACAAAGAGAAGTCTGCAGCCTGAAAAAAGGCCTTCATTTCACCATGCTGGTGACCTGATCTTGCACTTCCAGCCTGCAGAACTGTAAGAAATAAATTTCTGTTGTTAATAAGCCATCAAATCTCTGGTATTTTGTTCTAGCACTCTGAAGAGACTAAGACACCATCCTATCACCCATCCAGTCCTCTAGCCAGCCAGCCACAAATACCATGGAGCTATCCATTCCACAAATACCAAGGGCCTTCTCTATGCTGATTTTATGCCAGGAGGAAGCTGAATACAGAAGTGACCAGAATACAACAAAACTTATGAAAGCTGGGTTTTCACTGGATTTAGAATTCCTTGAGGATAGTATCTCTTGTTTTGTATCTGTAGAGCATAAAATATGATTGGCTCCTGTCTTCCTTTTCAATCTTACCCACTTATTCAATTATACTGGTCTCCTTTCCATTTCTGGAATAAGACCTCTTTTGCCTCAAGACTTTTGCAATTGCTGTTCCTTTTGACCCAAATATTCATCAAGCAATGCTAATAGCTGGCTCCTTCTTATCCTTTGCAACTTACTTAAATGTCTTGTCCTCAGAGAGGCCTTTTCTGACCACTTTATCTAAAGTAGATGCTCTCTTCCCCCTCCCCAGCTACTCCCTATCACCTCACCCTGTTTATTTCTTTGAAGGCATTGGTCACAATCTTGTTTATTGTTTATTTTCTAACTTCCTAGCCAGAAACAAGTCCAGGGAGGCCAGGTACTAAGTCTTTCATGTTTGTGTTTTTGTGCTTTTTTTTCCTGCATGACTTCTGCCTTCCTAGCCCAGTAACAGACACATAGTAGTAGGCCTTCAATATTTATTTGTTGAATAAATGAATGAAAAAAATTCATGACCATATAAACAGACCTTGAAAGATAGAGTAGGAACAGAGAGGGCCTTGAAAGACAAGCAGAAGAGGGTACACTTGATGGGAACATAGGAAGCTAGTAGAAGTTCTTGAGTTGCAGAATGAAAAATGATTTAGGGGGGTAACTTGGTATGCCACAATCTGCCATAAATCCTTAATTTAAATAATTCACTGCAGTGTCTTGTAATGAATCACTACAAGAGATAATTAGGATCTAGGACCTGAGCTGTATTTTTCTCCCTGTGTTTAATTAATTGATAATGGTGATCTATAAAGTGATCATAGTGAAGACCCTATAAGGTGGGATCCACGTCTATTTACTGCAGTCAGGCCTGCAGTAGATAAATTATTTCTTCAGTTACTGAGTGAAACAATCATGCACTTAGAAAGACCTGGGTTAGATAGGATTTGCTACTAGCCATCTGTGTGACCCTTAAGAAGATCCTTAACCTGGCTAAGGTCAGTTTATCTGTAAAGAGAAAGACTTAGCTCAGGCATTTAAATGAAAGCTTATGAGAAAATCTGAGGCACAGAGTAGACCTCGGTAAATTCATTTCCTTCTGTTACTCTGGAGATGCTGAACCTGCCCTGACAGGGATTTCCTACTGGCCTTTTCCCAACAGTCTTGTGGCTTGAAATAGAGCATATGGTGATATTTACTTTTTGCTATTTTCAGTCTTTCCCGTGTAAAGCTGGAATTGTGACTCTGCAACTTAACTAGCTGAGTGACCTTAGGTACCTCAATTTCTTTATAAAATAGGTATAATAATAGTACCTGTCTCATAGGAATATTGTAAGGATTACATGAGATGGTACACTGAGTATCTGTACTAGTGCCTGGTACATAGTAGGTTCTCAAATGTTAGCTGTAATCCTTTAGGACTTTATTTTACTCTCCTTAATGCTGGCAACTTTTCTCCTCTTCTTTCTGTAGGTATTCTCAGTGCCTACAATCTCTTCTGGGGAGAATGCTGACTCTGAAATGCAATGTGGGAGAAATGGATTCAGTAGCTTCTTTCAGACATCCAAACCAAGAGCCTTCAAATAAGAATAGAGTAGTAGGAGCATTATGACACTGAGGAGAGACTTTTTGTATCAGTGGCATCTGTTCTAACCAGATATTCAAATACCCTTACTTTTAGGGTCACTTATTGGCCAAAGCAACCATGGATCTGTCCAAAAGGTACCTCCAGGAAAGAAAAAACGCTTAAGGAACCAGACACACCCATTTTCTAGTGATTTTGGAAGAACAAGCAGTATTAGCGTTGGAGCCTCAAAGACTGCTTTCTGGAACTTTCATTAGCTTAATCTATTGTGCTTTTCATTAGCATTTTCCTAGAAAGTGAAGTCAAGGAAAACATTCCTGGGGTGGGGCTGGAGTAACTACCATGCGGTTATAGAGACTGTTTTGCACATCATTTTTTCTCCAGAACCTAGCACAGTACCTAGCATACCAGGGACTCAAAAGTGTAGAATTATTTTCAAACTTTAGTTGTCTTTCCCAAGGAAACTTGTCGTGCCCACAAGCGGCCGCAAGCAGGTCCGCGCCTAGAAATAACATTTATTCTAAAGACCACTGCGCAGGGATTCTTGGGAAGCAGTCCCCCTCCCTCATTCGCTTGTTTCTCCTCCCGTAAGTTGCCTTTGAAAGAACTGGCACGCCACGTGATTCCCTCCCTTCTCCCCTGAAAGCCTGGCTGATAACGGGCAGGAGCGTAGGCCAACCATAAAATTCTATTTCATCTTCTAGCCAATAGTAAGAAGCGATAAGTATATGGCTCAGTTTTTTTTACTTTCCCCGCCCACTTTGAGCCCGCCCCTCCACTCCCATTGGACATTTGACAACTCACCCGGCCAATGAGAAGTTCCTACTCTACATGGGAGGGATGGACTGACTAGATAATAGACGTCCGGCTCTGGCCAATGGCATATCACAAGTGAGGCAGGAGTGGAGGACGGGACCAATGGCGCGGTGCCAATAACGAGCATCAGTGGAAGGGCGGGACGAAACTGTTCGCGGGAGGGAGGGGAAGGCCCAGGGAACCAAGCAGCGCTGCCGCCACCGCCGCTGCAACCGGAGTTGGAGGAGGGAGAAGCCAGGGAGAAAATGGCGGCCGTGGCTGCAGAGGCGGCAGCGACTGCAGC